TTTCCTGACCACAACACTGTGAGGCTAGATATCAACTACAGAAGAAAAAAGACTGTGAAAGCACACACATGGAGATTAAACAATACATTTCTGAGTAACAAATAGGTTACTGAAGGAAGAAGGGAAGTTAAAATATTTCTAGGAAAAAAATGACAGGAAAATTATGAAAACCCAAAGCCTGTGAGATGCAGGAAAAGCAGTTCTAAGAAGGAAGTTTATAGCAATACAATCTTACCTCAAAAAATAAGAAAAACATTGAATAGACAAACTAACTTTACACTTCAAATAACAGCTGGAAAAAGAATAACAAAAAAATCCCAAAGTTAAAAGGGAAGAAATCATAATGATTGGAATAAAAATAAATGAAAAGAAATGAAGGAAACAATAGTAAAGATTAATAAAACTAAAAGCTGGTTCTCTGAGAACATAAACAATACTGAAAAAAACCATTGTCCAGACTCATCAAGGAAAAAAGGGAGAAAAATCAAATGAGCAAAATTAGGAATGAAAAAGCAGAGGTTACAACAGGCAATGCAGAAACACAAAGGCTCAGAAGAGACAGTTATGAGCAACTATATGCCAAATATGGACAACCTGAAGGAAATGGATAGATTCTTTGAAAAGTTCAGCCTCCCAAGGCTGAATCAGGAAGAAATAGAAATTATGAACAAGCCAATCACAAACACTGAAATCGAAACTGTGATAAAAAGTCTCCCCAAAAAACAAAAGCCCAGGGCCAAATGGCTTCACAGAATTCTGTCAAACATTTAGAGAAGAGCTAATGCCTATTCTTCTAAAACTCTTCCAAAAAATTGCAGAGAAAGGAACACTTCCGAATACATTCTGTGAGGTCATCATCACCCTGATACCAAAATCAGACAAAGACATTACACAAAAAAAGAAAATTACAGGCCAATATCACTGATGAACATAGATGCAAACACCCTCAACAAAATTCTAGCAAACAGAATTCAACAACAGACTAAAACATCATACACCATGATCAAGTCAGGTTTATCCCAGTTAGGCAAGGGTTCTTCAATATACACAAGTCAATCAATGGGAGACATCATATTAATAAATAGAGAGATAAAATCCATATGAAAATCGCAATAGATGCAGAAAAAACTTTGACAGAAATCAATACCCATTTATGATAAAACTTCAAATATTGGACATAAAAGGAGCTTAACATAATAAAGGTAATATACAGCAAACCCACAGCAAACATTGTTCTCAATGGTGGAAAACTGAAAGTGTTCCCTCTAAGATCAGGAGCAAGACAAGACTGCATGCTCTCACCAGTATTATTTAACATAGTTTTGGAATTCTCAGCTATGGCAATCAGAGAAGAATGAGAAATAAAGGAAATCCAGATCAGAAAGGTGACTGAGATTGGAAAGGAAGAAGTAAAACTCTATTTACAGATGACATGATATTGTGTGTAGAAAATCCTAAAGATACTATAACAAAATTATTAGAGCTAATCGGCAAATTTAGTATCACAGAATACAAGATCAATACACAGAATGCCCACCATCAAAAAATCCACAAACCAGTGCTGGGGAGGATGTGGAGAAAAGGGAATGCTCTTGCACTGTTGGTGGGAGTGTAAATTGATACAGCCACTATGGAGGACACTATGGAAATTCCTTATGAAACTAGTAATAAATCTACTATATGACCCAGCAATACCACTTCTAGGCATATACCGTGAGGAAACCAAAATTGAAAAAGACACATGTACCCCAATGTTCACTGCAGCACTATTTACACTAGCTGAAACTTAGAAGCAACCTAGATATCCATTGACAGATGAATGGATAAAGAAGCTGTGGTACTGATGAACCTATTAGCAGGGAAGAAATGAAGACACAGACATAGTGATGGACGTATGGACACGGTGGAGGGGAAGAAAGAGAGGGTAAGACAAATGGAGACAGTAGCATGAAAGCATGTATGCTATGACTTGTAAAATGGATAGCCATTGGAAATTTCCTGTATGACTCAGTGAACTCAAACTAGGGGTCTGTAACAACCTAGAGGGGTTGGAAAGTGTGGGAAGTGGGAAGGAAGCTCAAGAGTGCAGGGACATATGTATACTTATGGCTAATTCATGTTGATGTTTGACAGAAAGCAAATCAATTTTGTAAAGTAATTATTCCTCAATTTAAAAGAAAATTAAAAAGGTAACTAACATTGCATTTGATAGGTCAGGAATAGATATAATTTTTTCTATGAGGTTTTCCAACAGTAAGTTTTTTATTTTAGGTTCTGCACTAGGTCTACAATCACAGAAAACTAAAGAAACTGACCATATGGATTGCAACCTTGGCTAACTCAATGAAACTATGAGTGATGCTGTGTAGGGCCACTCAAGACAGATGGGATATGGTGGAGAGTTCTGATAAAACATGTTGGACTGGAGAAGGGAATGGCAAATCATTTCAGCATTCTTGGCATGAGAACCCCATGAATAGTATGAAAAGACAAAAAGATGTGACAATGAAAGCTGAACTCCCCAGGTTGGTAGGTGCCCAATATGCTACTGGGGAAGAGCAGAGAAATAGCTCCAGAAGGAATGAAGAGGCTGAACCAAAGCAGAAACAGTGCCCAGTTGTGCATGTGTCTGGTGGTGAAAGTAAAGTCCTATGTTGTACAGAATGATATTTTGCCTAAGAACTTTGGATGCTAGGTCAGTAAATCAAGGTAAATTGGAAGTGTTCAAACAGGAGAAGGCAAGAATGAACATAGATATTTTAGGAATCAGTGAACTAAAATGGATGGGAATGGTACATTTAATTTAGATGACCATTTTATTACTACTGTGGGCAAAAATCCCTTAGAAGAAATGGAGTGGTCCTCACAGTCAAGAGAAGAGTCTGAAATGCAGTACTTGGGTGCAATCTCAAAAACAATAGAAAGATTTCAGTTTGCTTTCAAGGCAAACCATACATCACAGTAATCAAATCTATGCCCTAACCACTAATGCCAAAGAAATTGAACAGAACAGTTCTGTGAAGAACTGCCACACCGTTTAGAACTAACAACAAAAAAGATGTCCTTCTCATCTTAGGGGACTGGAATGCAAATGCAGGAAGTCAAGAGATACCTGCAGGAAACTTTGACCTTGGAGTACAAAATGAAGCAGGACAAAGCTAACAGAGATTTGCCAAGAGAACGCATTGGTCATAACAAACACCCTCTTCCAACAAAACAACAGATGACTGTAAACATGGACATCACCAGATGGTCAATACCCAAATCAGATTGATTATATTCTTTGCAGCTGAAGATGAAGAAATTCTATTCAGTCAGAAAAAAACAAGACCTGGAGCTGACTGTGACTCAGATCATGAACTCCATATTGCAAAATTCAGACTTAAAGTGAAGAAAGTAGGGAAAACCACTAGACCATTCAGGTATGACCTAAATCAAATCCCTTATGATTATACAGTGGAAGTGACAAATAGATTCAAGGGATTAGATCTGATGGAGAGAATATCCTAAGAACTATGAATGGAGGTTCATAACATTGTATAGGAAGTGGTGATCAAAACCATCCCAAGAAAAAGAGATGCAAAATAGCAAAATGGTTGTCTGAGGAGGACTTACAAATAGTTGAGAAAAGAAGAGATTCAAAAAGCAAAGGAGAAAAGGAAAGATATACCCATCTGAATACAGAGTTCCAAAGAATAGCATTACTTTGCCAATGTCTTAGAAGTGTTCCTTTTGTCTTAGAAGTGTTCCATGTGAGTAAAATCAGATTGTGTGAGCTCCACAGAACTATTAGAGTCCCACATTACTTTGCCAATAAAGGTCTGACTAGTCAAGCCTATGGTTTTTCCGGTAGTCATGGATGGATGTGAGAGTTGGACTATAAAGAAAGCTGAGCGCTGACGAATTGATGGTTTTGAACGGTGGTGTTGGAGAAGATTCTTGAGAGTCCCTTGGATTGCCAGGAGATCCAACCAGTCCATCCTAAAGGAGATCAGTCCTAAGTGTTCACTGGTAGGAGTGATGTTGAAGCTGAAACTCCAATACTTTGGCCACCTGATGTGAAGGGCTGACTCATTTGAAAAGACCCTGATCCTGGGGAAGACTGAAGGCGAGAGGAGATGGGGATGACAGAGGATGAGATGGTTGGATGGTATCACCGACTCAATGGATATGAGTTTGGGTAAACTCCAGGAGTTGGTGATGGACAGGGAGGGCTGGTGTGCTGCAGTCCATGGGGTCACAAAGAGTTGGACATGACTGAGCAACTGAGCTGAAGTGAATTGATGCTGGTTCTTCAGACTGTGTTTGTTGGTTTATTTCACTTTTTTTGTACCCTTTGTAGCATTTTGTTGAATGCTGAACATGATGCCCTGGGTGAAAGGAACTGATATAAAAAGATGTTATTATGTGTTTTTATGCTTATCTGACTAGGATTTAGGCTGTGCTTAATTTGCTATAACCACTCTTGCTAGAGGCAAAAATCTCCTCTGGTATCTTTGTGTTTTGCCTTCCCTATTATCTTTGGATTTTTTAAGAGATCTGTTCTTAAATAAGGTCTGACACTGGTTGTGGCAACAGGCTTCTGCGTCTGGGCTTCTGCTCTGGTAATCTCGGATTCTCTGTATTCAACTATCTATCCATTTGTTTTGGATACTATCTATTTGTTTGGATACATTTTTTTTGGAGACAGTTGTTTTTCCTTTGACTTCAGTGGTCTGTTGGTTCTAAGGAGAGTGGTTGATTCTCAGTTTAGCTTTTCCTTGTATGAAGATGAGCACAGTAACTTCCAAGCTTCTTATTTGTTAGGCCAGAAACTGGATATCCTGCATCAGTCACTTTTTCTATCTTGGCTTCATGTTCCCTATTTGTAAAATAAAGGGATAAGATCACTGCTTGGTAGCATGATTCTCTTCCAGCCCTAGCATTCTGTTGAATCCATAAACACTGACTAGCATGAATGACTATGCCAATATGTGACATTTATTACCCTTCTTCTACAGGCAGACCTCCAGGTGGACAAGGAGAGGCGCAATTTCTTTGAGTCATCCCTTGATTATGTTTATCAAATCCAGGAAGTTCAAGAGTCTAAGAAGTTCAATATTGTGGAGCCAGTAAGTTCTAATGATGAATGGTCTAAAAATATTTACCAAATGTCAAGTAAGTGTAGAGAACTTTGATGATAAAATTGGAGTCTCAAAGAATATGAATATACTCAATGCTTAATAATGAATGTCAATGGAATAGACACACTGGCTTGTGCTGTTCTTGCTCTCTAACCGATATTCTCTCTCTTACTCTTCCTCACTCTTCCCCACCTTCCTTCCTCCTGATTTCTCTCTATAGCTATGATTTTTCTTTATATTTCTTTTCCTCCTCTCCTTTCTCGTGTTCCTTGATTTTTCTGTCACCCTTCATTTTACCTTGTTCTCCTCCCTTCCTCTCATACTTTCATAAGGTTTCTGAAAATACCCATCATATCTCAGACACTGTTCTAAGAATGCATGTTTCTTGCATTCCGTGACTTCCCATTCTATTTTTACTTCTATCCTTTGAATATTTTTCTAATTAAATATCCTTAATATATTATAGAAGATGGTGTACTGTGGTTTGATAAGTGTTTTGATTTTTAGCAACTTTCTTTTTTATTATAAAAACAATGTAAAAACAGTTGCAACAGTTGCAGAAAAAGCTAGAAAAAATTTATTAATATATGTAAAGCAAATACAACATATCCCCCATACAGAGATGATCACTGTTAATATTGTGGTGTTTACCTCCTAAATTCTGTGTGTCTGTTATATTCTTTTGTCTATCTATTTTGCCTATGTACTTGTTGGTGTGGGTGTGTGTACACATGTGCATATGTGTGTACACATATTACACATAAGCATGTATATCTGTGTACCTGTTATCTGTGATCACAGTTGTATGTATCTGTATGTGTACATTTGCAAACAAATATTTATTCATTTATCTGATAAGCATTTATTGAGTCTCTGTTATATGCAGGCACTGTGCTAAACACTGGGTATCATATAGTGAAAAAGACAGACTCAGTTTCTGTCTTTGTGAAGATTACACTTTCATGGGGTGGAAAGAAGGATACACATAAATAAAGTAATTTGAGTTATGGTAATGGCTAAAACAAAGAACAGGAGCAGACAGCTACTTTAGGCCAAATGGTCAAGGGGAGATCTCTGAAAGTGTCATTTAAGATGAGATCTAAAGAAAGAAAAGATAAGGCAATGTGAATAATGGGAAGAGAACTTTTCAGGCACAGAAAAAAACACATGTACATAGTCCTTAAGTTAGTAAAGAATGGTGAATATCACTGATGAGAGAAAAGGAGGGTGGCAGGAAATAATATCTGATAAGAAGGCATAGGACCTGTAGGCATGGTGAGGGGTTAGATTTGTCTGAATTGCAGTAGAAAAATCACTGATGTATATCAAATAGGATATGACATAGCTGATTTTGTTGTGTGGAGAATAGCTTGGAAGAGGGCAACAGTGGAAATGAGGAAACGAGTTAGGCTATTCCAGTGGTCTAGGCAAGTGAAAATGTTGCTTTGGGTTAGGGTGGTGGTAGTAGAAATAGAAAAGAATGATTGGATTAGAGATATAGTTTGGAAGCAAAACTGGCAGGGCTTACTGATTGATTAGACTAAGCTGTGAGTGAAAGAAACCAGAATTCTTTGCTTTCTGGCTTGATTAACTAAGTAAGTAGGTGTTGGTGTCATTTCTTGGGATGGGAAAACTTTGAAAGAAAAAGGAAGGGTATCTACATAACTGTGTGTGTGATACATACACTCATGTGCATTTATATATATGTTTGTACATGTACACATATATAACTGTATGTATGTATATTTAGGACTTTCCTGGTAGCTCAGTTGGTGAAGAATCTGCCTGCAGTGCAGGAGACTCGGGATTGATCCCTGGGTCAGGAAGATCTCCTGGAGAAGGAAATGGCAATCCACTCCAGTATTCTTGCCTGGGAAATCCCCTGGACAGAGGAGACTGGTGGGCTACAGTCCATGAGGTCACAAAAGTCGGACACGAAGTAGTGACTAAACCATCACCACCACCATGTGTGTATATATATATATATACACACACACACATGTGTATAGTACATACGTATGTACATAGTTTTTAATATGTTTATATATATATACATATATTGGGTTAACCAGAAGATTTATTAAGTTTTCCCATAATAACATCTTACAGAAAAATCCAAATAAACTTTTTGGCTAACCCAATATATTTAGTTTGTGTTTGTGTGTTTTTGTGTGTGTCAGTCTCTCAGTCATGTCTGACTCTTTGCTATCTCATGGACGATAGCCCACCAGGCTCCACTGTCCATAGGATTCTTTAGTCAAGAATACTGGAGTGGGTTGCCATTACTTTCTCCAGGGGATCTTCCCTACTACGGCATCAAACTTGGGTCTCCCACATTGCAGTCAGATTCTTTACCATCTGAGCCACTGGGGAAACCCATAGTTTGTGGTTATGTACATATATATTTGGCAAATTTGGAAAACTCAGCAGTGGCCACAGGACTGGAAAAGGCCGGTTTTCATTCCAATCCCAATGAAAGGCAATACCAAAGAATGTTCAAACTACCACACAATTGCATTCATCTCACACGCTAGCAAAGTAATGCTCAGAATTCTCAAAGTCAGGCTTCAGCAGTATATGAAAGGTGAAATTCGAGATGTTCAAGCTGAATTTACAAAAGGCAGAAGAACCAGAGATCAAATTGTCAACACCATTGGATCATCAAAAAAGCAAGAGAGTTTCAGAAAACCATCTATTTCTGCTTTATTGACTCTGCCAAAGGCTTTTGACTGTGTGAATCACAAGAAACTGTGGAAAAGTCTTCAAGAGATGGGAATACCAGACCACCTGACCTACCTCCTGAGAAATCTGTATGCAGGTCAAGAAGCAACAGTTAGAACTGGACTTGGAACAACAGACTGGTTCCAAATCAGGAAAGGAGTATGTCAAGGCTGTATATTGTCACCCTGCTTATTTAACTTATATGCAGAGTACATCATGGGAAATGCTGGACTGGAGGAAGCACAAGCTGGAATCAAGATTGCTGAGAGAAATATCAATAACCTCAGATATGCAGATGACACCTCCCTTATGGCAGAAAGTGAAGAAGAACCAAAGAGCCTCTTGATGAACATGAAAGAGGAGAGTAAAAAAGTTGGCTTAAAGTTCAACATTCAGAAAACTAAGATCATGACATCCGTCTCATCGCTTTATGGCACATAGATGGGAAAATAATGGAAACAGTGAGAGACTTGATTTTTCTAGGTTTAAAATCACTGCAGATGGTGACTGCAGCCCTGAAATTAAAAGACACTTGCTCCTTGGAAGAAAAGCTAAAACCAACCTAGATAGCATATTAAAAAGCAGAGAGATTACTTTGCCAACAGAAGTCCATCTAGCCAAAGGTATGGTTTTTCCAGTAGTCATGTATGGATGTGAGAGTTGGACTATAAAGAAAGCTGAGTGCCAAAGAATTGATGCTTTTGAACTGTGGTGTTGGAGAAGGCTCTTGAGAGTCCCTTGGACTGAAAGGAGTTCCAATCAGTCAATCCTTAAGGAAATCAGTTCTGAATATTCATCAGAAGGACTAATGCTAAAGCTGAAACTCCAGTACTTTGGCCACCTGATGTGAAGAACTGACTCATTGGAAAAGACCCTGATGCTGGGAAAGATTGAAGGCAGGAGGAGAAAGGAATGACAGAGGATGAGATGGTTGGATGGCATCACCGACTCGATAGATATGAGTTTGAGTAAGCTCTGGGAGTTGGTGATGGGCAGGGAAGCCTGGTGTGCTGCAGTCCATGGGGTCACAAAGAGTTGGACATGAATGAGTCACTGAACTGTACATATATATTAATACACACATATAGATGTGTTTGTATATATATAGCATGTAAGTGCATATTTATATGTGCTTCACTGTTTACTTTCTAAAAATAATAGAGCAGTTTTTACTACTTCCTGTTACACTCTACTCCCTGGTGGCTTAGATGGTAAACAGTCCTCCTATAGTGCAGGAGACCTGGGTTTTATCCCTGGATCAGGAAGATCCCCTGGAGAAGGGAACTGCTACTCACTCCAGTATTCTTGCCTGGGAAATCCCATGGACAGAGGATCCTAGCAGTCTCCAGCCTATGTGGTCGCAAAGAATCTGACCCAACTGAGCAACCAACACACACACACACACACACACACACACACACACATATTACACTTTACTATTGCCAGCACTGAGCATTGATTTTTAATATGTTTGTATTTCACAGATGAAATTTTTATTCTGTTGTTATTTGTGTATATTTGATTTTTATTGGAGTGAACATTTGAGGCATTAAAATATATTTTATTGATCATTTCAATGTCTTCTGCAATGTCCAACCCCCTCCCCAATATATTTTTAATTTAAAAATTATTTTTCAAAGAAAGATCCTTGGATATTTTAGCATTATGATATTGTTCATTATGATCATTTATCCATTTTTACTTATTGTTTTTATCAACAAATATTTGAGTCTCCTTCCCCAGTGGTTCAGCATTAAAGAATCTGCCTGCAATGCTGGAGACACAGGAGACAGTGATTCAATCCTTGGGTCTGGAAGATCCCCTGGAGGAGGGAATGGCAACCCACTCCAGTATTCTTGCCTGAACAATCCCATGGACAGAGGAGCCTGACAGACTACAGTCCATGGGATCACAAAGAATCTGACACTACTGAAGTGACTGAACATGCATGTATTTATAAGTACTTTACTCTGTACCAGTCCTGAAGGCAGTCTATTCCCACATTATGTTCATCCTGTCCACATTTGATTGGTTTCATATGCTATCTGAAAAGAGTATTGTTGAATAAATTTGTTAGTAGTTCTTATTTTCTGGATTTGAGTCCAGTGTGAATGTTTAACCTAATGAAAGAATAACTATGTGTAGACCTATTTATGTTGCATTACTGTTCTTAACACTATACTGGTTAAACACTGTGTGAAGTTTCTTTTTTGTATATCTTGTTTCCCTTTATTTGATTAATGAGAAGATGGTGGTGATAAAGTTATTTTTATACATTTTCTCTAGGTCTTGGCCTTTCTTCATAGCCTCTTCATTTCCAACAGCTTGACTGTGGAACTAACACAGGATTTCCTCCCATATAAACAACAGCTTCAGCTCAGTTTACAGAATGTGAGTTTTCATGTGGGTTTCTTCGCCAGTCTTTGCATTGCAATTGGATTTCAGTCTCAATATCTTGACTTTGGAATTTTAGGTTATTATATCCCAGCTAATTCGTGAGAACCAATTGGTGTGGATCACAAATATTTTAGTGTAATAGATTGTTTTTACTCTTCCAGTTTCAACTATTCCCTGTCTTTGAGGCTGACTGTTGTTCAAACCCACCCTTCCACCCACTAACACATCTATCTATCCAGTATTTATTAAATGTTGCTAATTTGCTATATCTCTCCCAGATTAGAACCCATCTATGGGCTTATTTAAGTACAAATCAGTTCTTATGCTAATTAGTCAAGATACTCTCTTTGTAGGTTTTATTAATATGAATGCCCATTCTTCCCTTCCTTTTCTCATTTCGTTTCTCATTACATTAGTATAGTTAAAAAATTATCTTGAAGGATGGTCTCAACCTTCTTTCCCATGCTGTTTCTTATAGATGGACATAAGCACAGCCTTCCCTTCCTTGTCGCATATCATTTTTCTCATTTTGTTATTTAACCCACATTTAACAATTACTTAGGTATATAATGAACATATAATATACCTTGTGCCAGGCATTGTAAAATGCACTGAACATACCATAATGAGGCACGTTAGTTTTTGTCTTCAGGGATTATTCAGTCTCTTAGAACCGAGAGAGATAAACAGAGATACAGCATGATTACTTATGCAAAGTGCTAAAATAGAGTTAAGACCAAAAAAGTTAAAAAAGCACAGAGTATAGAATAATTGTCTGATACAGTAAAAGAAGGCACCACTGAGGTAGTGATTTTGGACTTGTTAACGTTGCATAAAATTTATAGATGAATTTTTGGATGAAAACAAAAATTTGTTGTTTAGGAAATTCCTGATTTACACTTGTTTCTTTCTGGGTACTCTCTTTCACCAGAATGTGAGAGTTCCTATCTTCTGCAAATTTACAAAATATTCCTATACCTAGGTCAATTGCTTAATCTTCCTCCAAATATAACTTGAAAAGTCTGAGTTTAGCAACAAATATTTGTCTATATCTATATCTATATCTATATATCTGTGTGTATATATATATATATATATATATATATATATATATATACTAGGTAGGACAGCCCATATCACCTTTTTCAATGACATCATGTGACAATCTTGTGACTGAACAGTGAAGACCTGTTTCTAGTGACGATACACACATTTCAAACTGTGTTTTGCCATTGATTTTTAATCATGTACTTTTAAAGATACTACTTCTTAATATTAGCTATTTAAAGATACTACTTCTTAATATTAGCTTTTTTTATTCATGAGCATGAAAATGTAGGTTTTCTGTTGACCTGTGTTCAAAGAGAGCACACTTTCATATCCTTTATTCTAATGGCCAGGATTTGATTCAGTGTCAAGTAAGCAGTAACTTTACCTGAGACAGAATGTAGAAGTTGCCATGATAATATTATCCTAGGGAACCTTCTTTATAGCCTTCCTTTTTGTAAGGCAGAGTTCAGTGTGATGCTCAGAATTCTTAGAGCTTTTATTTCTTGGAACCTTTTGTGATTTCTATTAGAAAATGTCTCCCAGATACATTATTATTTACATTTCTCTCTCCCTTTTAGCCTTTAGTACTGTTAAACTACACTAAATTGTTTTCTAGTTACTATGCCATTCAGCACTTGTTTTTTGCTATGTTGTATCACATGATAAAAGCTGAGAAAACTCTGCACTGAATCTCTGACCATTGAATGCTTCTTCATGATGATGGTGCTGATGATAATGATTATGATGATAATATCTTGACAGACAAGAAATCATTTCTCCAGTACCCGAGAAGAGATGGAAGAACTTAAGAAAAGGATGAAAGAAGCTCCACAGACATGCAAACTTCCAGGACAGCCAACCATCGAAGGCTATCTCTATACACAAGAGAAATGTGTGTGGGAATACAGGGATAGCCACTGGGTTTAAGTAGGCTGATAACCACTGCCACTTAGCCTCTCCAAACTCCAGGCACCCATATAGTTCATAGACCCCCTTCCAGTTATACCTCTTTGGAAACCAGCATGAGAACAGAGAAAATAAAAAGGAGGGAAAAATTAAAGGGGGAGGTTAAGGATTTGTATTACAAAGACTGTGGGATGATAAAACTTAAGGTTTTCTCTGAGATTCAAAATGGGGATTGTTAATTGCTTAATGCTTTCAATGACTCTGACTTAGGCTAAAAGGAATGTTGGAGAGAGGAGGCATAAAATAACATTTATTATACCTATTATGAGCCAGGCATGGTGTTATGTGCTTTAAACATACTACTTCATGTAACCTTTGAAAGCACTTTACCATACCCGTATTCGCATGAAGCCATGGAGGCTTAGAGAGATCACTATCTGGAAATCACCTAACTATCAAGTAACAAGGCTAAGTGTAAAGTCAGGTTTGTGAAATGCCAAAACGTATGCTCTTACAACTGTACCCTATACCTTCCATTGCCTTAAGATCACAAGGTTGCCTTTAAAGCACTACCCAACCATTGTGATTTCAGTGAAAAATACATTGTTCATTACTAACTAAGGGAAATGGGTTATCTTATTCAGTCACTGAATATTTCAGATGTTTAAGCTTTTCTGCCTTCTAATGTTATGTAAACCTGTATGTGCTATTTGATTTCCTTTTGAACTGTGATACAATGTCTCCAAAGCCTGTGACTTCAGTCTCTGACCTACTGAGTAGGTAGAAGAGACTATTCAGAGGTTACCAGTGGCAAAACCCACTGAAATCAACAAACTATGGTATTTCAGCATTAGTATTATCATACTTTTCCTCCCTTAGAGCAGTCAACTTTGATGGTTTTCAAAGATGTGTTGTTCTCTTTGTCAGGTTCAGTTCTTCACCTCTCCATTGCAAGATCTTTCAATCTAAGTGCTATTGATTGACATTTCAGGTTGGGTAATTCTCTGTTTTGAGAGGTTGTCCTATGCATTATAGGCTGTTTTGAAGCATCTATAGCCTCTCCCCACTTTATTCTGATAGTACTTCCCAATTCTGATAACCTAAGATGTCTCTCAGCATTGCCAAATGTCCTCTGGGAGGCAAAACTGCTCCTAGTTGAGAAACACTGCTATGTTATACAAGGGGCAGAGTAATGAGTATGTTGTCTTGACTCTAATATCAACTATGTGATCCTTCTATTCCCCAGTTTTTAAATTTTTCAAATGGATATGATATTCCTAGTCAGTTGAATGCATGTTTACTAAAAATCCTTTTTGCCAGACAATGTGTAATGAACTGGGGGTACAAGAAATGGATCAAATTTAGTTTTTGACCTCAAGAAGTTTACAGTCTAATGAAGACACAAGTATATTAAGAATTATAATGAAATGTGTTGAGCATTGCATTTGGAGAATATATGTACAGGCTTCACTGAGGAAGTAATATATGAAGTGAAATGTGAATTAAGAGTGGGGGTTTGACAGGTTAAAAAAAAAAAGCAAAGAAAATTCCAGGTGTATACCACTGCATGAGTCAAGGCACAGAGGTATGTGAGAGTGTATTTTATTTGTAGGGTCTTAATTATCCAGGAAGAGTTTTGGTTTATACTTGTTTTCCATATACAGTTGTTAACTGTGCACTGTTCACTATTAAATATGTCCTGAATTTGGTCTATCAATTATATCACCAACTATTTATTTGATAACTGAATGTAATTCAATGAGTCAGGGGCATAGAGGTGAGGGGGGCAAAAAGCCAAGTTGAAAAGCTAAATACAATCACATTATAAAAGGCTTTGTGAGCCAACCTAAGGAATTTGGAGAGAATGGGAAATCCATAGGTGGTTTATAATAAGAGGAATGATATAGAGATATATATTTTAAAAATATTCTCTAACAAAAGAGTAGAGAATAGGCTAGAAAGGAGTGATCAGAGAAGGCCACTGAAATCATTAATTGGAGAAATAGTAAATTTTTCTTTTTCTTGGAATATCTTATAAAACATTTTTTGGCAAACATCAGAAATAGAGTCCTGAATGAATTCAGCTATAAAAGGAGTGCAAGAAGAGACATGTAGGGGATAGAATGAGCAGAACCCTACCACCAGTCAAATAGGGCAGGTTATAGGGAAGGAAAAGCAGAAGATTACAGATGTTCCTAGCTCATACAATATAATGTATAATGGGAACATTCTCAGGGAACACAGTAAAGAGAGTGGTTTGGAGCAAGCCAGAGCAGATATGGAAAGTAGTTGATGAGGATTACAATAACCATATGTGTACTGGGCTGGTGGCACTTCATAGCTGGATCTCAGGGGAAAGGTAGGACTAGATCTGGATCATGACCATGAAAAGTAAACTGTGCACAGGTTCTGTCTTACAGGTAAACTGACCATGCAGCCAAAATACTTATTCTATCAGCTCACTGTTGCCTGTCTTTGTAGGGGCTTTGGGAATATCCTGGGTGAAATACTACTGCCAATATGAGAAAGAGACCAAAACACTCACTATGACGCCTATGGATCAGAAGCCAGGTGCTAAGCAGCAGGTCAGTTCTTTGATGGACCACATTTTTTTGAAATGCAAGTGTGACTGAATCACAGAAAATATATATATTGACTTCATGTCAAAGAATTGAGTCTATCACTGTCACATGAACCCATGTCTTCATATGTTTTTCTTGGCCTAAGTTTGCATTGGCCCAGATACTACTCAGTTGAGTGAAGAATCTCTGCTAATGATTTCAGGACTTCTGAAAGTGCCTTTACTCTTTTAGATCATTGTTGCAAGTGTCTATCACATTGTACAAAGAAAATTTACAAAAAAATATGGATAAATTGAAGGAGGAGAGTATTACTTGCTTTTAAGAAGGCTCTACTATGGATTCTTTTAAATAGTGTTTAAAAAGAAGCATTTTCCAAAATTCCTTTTTTAAAGGAGTATTCTGTCATCTAAATTTGAAATAACCTATACATTACATTTTATGCAATGCTCAAATATCTTTAAGCAGTTAATTCCTCTTTCAGCCTCCAGACTTTCCTCTACTCCCCAAAATGGCAAGATCAGTTTGACACACTGACATGATAGTTCACTTACTATCATGAGGAGGAACTTGATACTATTTATATTATATTATAAATTTTATACTACTTTATGTGTGACCATCCAGCTAAAAAATTAGTGTGTCATCTCACTTTTTTCCATCTTTGTAGGGGCTTTGGGAACATACATACATAGAACCCTGAAGGTTTCTTAAGATAAAAGCTGATAGACTGACTATTCATTTTCTAAAGGTCCTTTTAACTGTCTTTCAGACAGGGCCTTAGGGCATAATTTATAAAAGTTTCCATTATTTACAAATTGCTTGCAAAATAAACAAGGTTTAGTTGTTAGCACTGAAAGTTGTGATGCATGGAGACCCAATTTCCATAGGCAGAAATTTGGAGATTTTGGGGGCTAATTTTTCTCCATTGCTGGTGATTTCCATGGAAGATCGCTCTTGTGTGGCTTGTTCATAGGACTATACTACAAAGCTACAATCAACAAGACAGTATGGTACTGGCACAAAGACAGAATTATAGATCAGTGGAACAAAATAGAAAGTCCAGAGATAAATCCACACACCTAGAGACACATTATCTATGACAAAGGAGGCAAAAATATACAATGGACAAGAGCCAGTCTCTTCAACAAGTCGTACTGAGAAAACTGGCCAACTATATGCAAAAGAATGAAACTAGAAAAATTTCTAACACCAAACACAAAAATAAACTCAAAATGGATTTTAAGACCTAAATGTAAGGTGAGAAACTGTAACACTCTTAGAGGAAAAGCTGCTTTTCTTTTTTTGTCATTAACAAGAAATTTTGTGATTCTGCTTTGAATGTGGGTTAGACATGGGATGCATCTCTCACAGAGCATACAAAATGGGGTTTTCACAGTCTTCACCCATATTTATATGTAGGTCAAGTTGCTCACTCATGACTCCAGTACTCTTTAGTTTCTGGTCTGCCAATTGCTAAGGAACTTTTAAATGTGGTTCCAGTAAAGTGTGTTGTCACACAGAATTTGTTCCATTTCTGTGAGAAGTTAGCTTAAGTATTAATTAATACTTGACTAACAAATGCTTTTAAGCAACCTGTAATCTCTTTCTTCTCTTTTTCTACATGCATTACTTTCCAAACCTTGGACTTCAAAATTGCTTTCTTAGGTCCTACAACAAAGATCAAGCCACAGGCAGCAGATATTAATACTACTTTCATACTTTTTTAATATCATCTGCTTCTGTTAGGTGCATACATTTTCTGTCATTTATTGTGCCCGTTTTTGCATGAAATATTCCCTTGGTATATCTAATTTTTTTAAAGAGATCTCTAGTCATTCCCATTTTTTCCTCTATTTCTTTGCACTGTTCACTTAAGAAGGCTTTCTTATCTCTGTGCTATTCCTTGGAACTCTCCATTGAGATGGGTATATTTTTTTCCTTTTCTCCTTTGCCTTTCATTTCTCTTCTATTCTCAGCTATTTATAAGGTCTCTGAAGACAACCATTTTGCCTTTCTGCATTTCTTTTTCTTGGGCATGGTTTTGTTGACTGCCTCCTATGCAGTGTTATGAACCTCTGTCCATAATTAGAAATGCCAAGGGAACATTTCATGAAAGATGGGCATAATAAAGGAGATAAATGGTATGAACCTAACGGAAGCAAAAGATATTAACAAGAGGTGGCAAGACTACACAGAAGAACTATACAAAAAAAGGTCTTAATGACCCAGACAACCACAATTGTGTGGTCATTCACCTAGAGCCAGCCTACCTGGAGTGTGAGCATAATAAAGGAGATAAATGGTATGAACCTAACGGAAGCAAAAGATATTAACAAGAGGTGGCAAGACTACACAGAAGAACTATACAAAAAAAGGTCTTAATGACCCAGACAACCACAATTGTGTGGTCATTCACCTAGAGCCAGCCTACCTGGAGTGTGAAGTCAAGTACACTTTCAGAAGCATTACTACCAAAAAAGCTAGTGGAGGTGATGGAAATCCAGCTGAGCTATTTCAAGTCCTAAAAGATGATGCTGTTAAAGAGCTGCACTCAATATGCCAGCACATTTGGAAAACTCAGTAGTGGCCACAGGATTGGAAAGGTCAGTTTTCATTCCAGTTCCAAAGAAGGGCAATACCAAAGAATGTTCAAACTACCTCACAGTTGTGCCCATTTCATGTGCTAGCAAGGTAATGCTCAAAATCCTTCAAGCCAGGCTCCAACAATACATGAATTGAGAACTTCCAGTTGTACAAGTTGGATGTAGAAAGGGCAGAGGAACCAAAGATCAAATTGCCAACCATTCGATCGTAGAAAAAGCAAAGGGATTCCAGAAAAACAACTACTTCTGCTTCATTGAATACACTAAAGCCTTTGTGTGAATCACAGCAAACTGGAAAATTAATATAGAGATGGAAATACCAGAACACCTTACCTGCCTCCTGAGAAAACTGTATGCAGGTAAAGCAGCAACAGTTAGAACTGGGCATGGAACAACAGACTGGTTTAAAATTGGGAAAGGAGTATGTCAAGGTTATATTGTCACCATGTTTATTTAACTTCTATGCAGAGTGCATCATGTGAAATGCTGGGCTGGATGAAGCACAAGCTGGAATCAACATATACAGGAGAAATATCAATGACCTCAGATAGGCAGATGACACCACCTTAATGGCAGAAAGTGAAGAGGAACTAAAGAGTCTCTTGATGAAGGTGAAAGAGTAGAGTGAAAAAGCTAGGTTAAAACTCAACATTCAAAAAACAAATATCATGGAATCTGGTCCTATCACTTCATGGCAAATAGATGGATAAACAATAGAAACAATGGCAGATTTTATTACCTTTGGCTCAAAGATCACTGTGGTTTGTGACTGCAGACAAGAAATTTAAACGCACTTGCTCCTTGGAAGAAAAACTAGACAACATATTTGCTGGTATATTGAGTGCAGAACTTTCACAGCATCATCCTTTAGGATTTGAAATAGCTCAAGTGGAATTCCATCACCTCAACTAGCTTTGTTCATAATGATGCTTCCTAAAGCCCATTTGACTTCTCATTCTAGGATGTCTGGCTCTAGGTGAGTGATCACACCACTGTGGTTATCTGGGTCATGAAGATCTGTTTTGCATAGTTCTTCTGTGCATTCTTGCCAACTCTTCTTAATATCTTCTGCTTCTTTTAGGTCCATACTATTTCTGTCCTTTATTGTGCACAAATTTGCATGAAGTGTTCCCTTGGTATCTCTAATTTTCTTGAAGATTTCCTCTATTTCTTTGCATTGATCACTGAGGAAGGCTTTTTTTTTTTTTTTTATCTCTCCTGGCTATTCTTTGGAACTCTGCATTCAAATGGGTATATCTCTCCTTTTCTCCTTTGCCTTTCACTTCTTGTCTCAGCTATTTGTAAGGCCTCCTCAGACAACCATTTAGCCTTTTTGCATTTCTTTTTCTTTTCTTTTCTTTTTTTTTCCATTTCTTTTTCTTGGGGATGGTCTTGGTCATTGCCTCCTGTTCAGTGTCACAAACCTCCATCCATAGTTCTTCAGGCACTCTGTCTTACAGATCTAATCCCTTGACTCTATTTGTCACTTCCACTGTATAATCGTAAGGGATTTGATTTAGGTCATTCCTGAATGGTCTAGTAGTTTTTCCAACTTTCTTCAATTTAAGTCTGAATTTGGCAATAAGGAATCCATGATCTGAGCCACAGTTAGCTCCCGGTCTTGTTTTTGCTGACTGTATAGCTCTTCTCCATCTTTGGCTACAAAGAACATAATCTATCTGATTTTGGAATTGACCATCTGGTGATGTCCATGTGTAGAGTCTTCTCTTCTGTTGTTGGAAGAGGGTATTTGCTATGACCAGTGTGTTCTCTTGACAAAACTCTATTGGCCTTTTCACTGCTTCGTTTTGTAATCCAAGGCCAATTTTGCCTGTTCTCCAGGTATCTCTTGACTTCCTACTTTTGCATTCCAATCCTCTATAATGAAAAGAACATCTTTTTTTGGGTATTAGTTCTAGAAGGTCTTGTAGGTCTTCATGGAACTGTTCAACTTCAGCTTCTTCAGCATTATTGGTCAGGGTATAGACTCGGATTACTGTGATATTGAATGGTTTGCCTTAGAAACGAATAGAGTTCATTCTGTCATTTTTTAGATTGCATCCAACTACTGCGTTTTGGATTCTTCTGTTGACTATGATGGCTATTCCATCTCTTCTAAGGGTTTCTTGCCCACAGTAGTAGATATAATGGTCATCTGAGTTAAATTTACCCATTCCAGTCCATTTTAGTTCACTGATTCCTAAAATGTCAGTGTTCACTCTTGCCATCTCCTGTTTGACCTCTTCCAATTTGACTTAATTCATGTATCTAACATTCCAGGTTCCTATTCAATATTGCTCTTTACAGCCTCAGATTTTACTTCCATCTCCAGTCACATCCACATCTGGGTATTGTTTTTGCTTTGGCTCTGTCACTTCATTCTTTCTGAAATTATTTCTC